AAGTCTATGCAATGTGGCTAGTGTAGCTGGGACTCTAGCTTTTCAAGTTTATTTGGGGTTAAGTTTAAATTTAAAGAGTCGCGAATGATTTGTAGTCCCATAGTGGATAGAGTCCATATGGTGTGTCAATCAATTATAAACACTGTCTATGCCTGTGTACTTCCACACCTCTCTTTTACTGACAGCACCCCATTACTTTAAGGGCAGCCCTCTGCCCCCACTGTCTACGGCCATAGCTAGACAACTACTAAAATTGGACTGCTCTCCTTCAGACAAGGGATGGGCCTGAGACCCGAGCTAAGTCAGACTCTCCTCTCTGGGACTCTTGTTCTAGGTTCAGTGTCACAAAAATAGAAAATCAGGGCCAGGGTGGTGGTGTATACCTCTCACCACAGCACTTGGGAGGCAGAGGCAGGCAAGTCTCTGTGAATTGAGACCAGCTTGGTCTACACAGCAAGTTCCAGGCCAGCCAGGGCTACATAGTGAGACTCTGTCTCAAACAACAACAACAACAAAGTTAGTCAAAGGAGATTGCTATGACTGCTGATGTCCTAGGACACTTTGTATTCATCTCTAGAACTGTAGTCTAGAATGTGATAGCAACTGTGATGTATATAACAAGAACTTTATCTTCATCATCAAAATCACTGATGCCTAGTAGCTCTGATGTGCCAGTGCCTCTACTAGGGACACAATCCACGCAGCCTTTCTTCATCTCACACATGGAAATCATACCCATCTTACCTTCCTCCAGTCCCATTTCGAGACAGTCTTGTGTAACCCAGACTGACCTTGACCATCTGAGGATGGCCTTGAACTTCTGATCCTCTTGCCTCCATCTCCCAAGAGCTGGTATTACAGGTGCACACTACCACAACTGGTTGGCGCAATGCTGGGGATCGAACCCAGAGTTCCAGGCATGCTAGACAAGCACTCTTTATAAAGTGACACACCCCACCCCTTCTTCCGGAGATTTTATTTGGATAGCAAAGAAGATCATGGCCATAAGCATGTTGAGCCAAAGTAAGGAGTTACCTGTGCCTCTTCTAGATGTTGTTCTCAGGGCACAAGTTTGGAGGGGTCCTGGGAGGGTTTGACAAGAAGCCAGGATCCGGTCCCAGTTCCCAAGCTGTGCAACAACAGGCAAGACACTTGTGCTCTCTGGACTTTTGTTGGAGACTGAGTGAGGCACACCCCTTTCCAGGTTCTCCATTGCCTAGTACTTATGCACATACCGTGCTGGATACATGTCTCCTCCCACGTCTACAGACACAGCCAGCCAATCCCCAGCTTAGATTATGCCGGCTCTGTAACCCTTTCTTCCTTCCCCAGCTTCCACCTCACTGGGAAGGTGCCCGGAATATGCATTCACAGTAGTCCGCACTACTCTCTGGCAGTGTTGGTTGGTTTTGCTCCTTTAGGGGACCTACCACCCAGCTCTTAAATAAATCACACATGGAGGCTTATTCTTAATTATAAATGCCCAGCCTTAGCTTGGCTTGTTTCTTGCCAGGTTTTTTAACTTTAAATTATTCCATCTACCTTTTGCTTCTGGGCTTTTTCCTTTTCTTACTTCTGTAGCCTTACTTACAATTACTCCGTGGCTGGCTGTGTGGTTGGGTGGCTGGGTGGCTGGCCCTGATGTCCTCCTCTCCTTCTTTTCTTGTTCTTTCTTCCTTTTCCCAGATTTCTCCTTCTATTTATTCTCTCTGCCCGCCAGCCCCACCTATTTCTTTCTCCTGCCTCGCTATTGACTGTTCAGCTCTTTATCAGACCAGGCACAGTAACACAGCTTCACAGAGTTAAATAAATACAACATAAATGAAAGTAACACACATTAAAATAATATTCCACAACAGCAGAGGACTTCGTGGGAATCGTGTGCAGTCTTCTCCTCCATTAGTAGACCATAAGATCTATTGGGACAAAGACCACATCCCTCTTGTTCACATCTGTGGCCACAGTGCCTGGTACCAGTGTAGATGCTCCCTAAAGCTTACACCATTTGAAGGTTTCCATGAATAACCTACATCTATTTAGTATGCATTATGAATACCCCAAATCTATCTCATTTTAGAAAATCTGCGGTGCCAATTATCTGATGCTATGTCACAAATAACCGCTCAAACCTGCTTTTTTTAAAAAAATATATCACTTGTTATTTCTATTTCTATAGGAGAAAAGTTCAGATAGGGTGCATGTGGTTGGCTTGCCTCTGCTCCATGTCTGAGACCCTGGGGGTAAGACCCAAAGGCCAGGGGCTGAATCTTCCGAAGACTTAGTTTACCACCTGTACTGATTGTCTCGATTGGCCGAGGATCTACTGGGAGCTATCAGCCAGAAAGCCCTCGTGTGGATCTGTATTACTTGTACTTCCTCACAACATGGCAGCTGGTGTCTTCTGAGGACAGCATCTCATTTTTGTGACCAGGCCTTTAATCCACCTCCTCTCGTTCTGTTCATTAGAGACAAGTTCTTAAGCTTAACACACATGTGGAGGAGGGGGAATCAGGCTCCAATATTCACAGAAGGATGGCAGAGAACTTGTAAACATACTTTAAATTCCCCATGAGCACTGGGTAAACATGAGAGACAGGTATCATTAGGTGGAGAGGCGGTGTTGGAAGGAGGCCCTTGTACTCACAGTCTGGTTGTGCTGCTTGTCCCTGTGTGAGCTTGGGGAATTTGCACTCTGAGATTCGGGCTTCCCCTGTTTATACAATAAGAAGGTAGCAGCTGTTGATCCCGGGTGGCATTTGCATGCCAGGACTCTTCTTGCCTCCGGGGAGTTGAGGAAGAGCCAGGCCTACCTGCCTGGAACCTGGCCTTCTGGGGACATCGCTAGCACTGACCATGCCTGGTTCCTGACAGGGCAGGTGACAAAACGTTGTGACTGAAGCTCAGAAAGATCTGACACCAGGAGGAACTTTAAGGAACCCACGGAGAAGCGCTAAGGGCCTGGGGAGTCTCAGGTCTTTTCTACTCTTGCTGTGGATGCACGCATTTTATCCCAGCACTCCAGAGGCAGAGGCAGGCAGATCTCTGTGAGATTTGGGGCCAAACCGGTCTACTTATCAAGTTCCAGACCAGCCAGTGCTACATAGTGAGATCTTGTCTGTAAATAAATAGCTGACATGAATAAGTCAGTAAGCAGCATTCCTCCTGGGTTCTGCCTTGAGTCCCTGCCTTGACTTTCCTCAGTGATGGACTGTGACCTGGAAGTATAGGCCCAAAGAAATCCTTTCCACCCTAAGTTGCTTTTGGTCTTATCACAGCTACCGAGAGAATATTAGGACAGAGGGGATACCTCCAGCAACCTAAACACACACACACACACACACACACACACACACACACACACACACACACACAAAGCCCCACCTCCCAAAGGTTCTGCTACCTCCAAATAGCACCGTCTGGGGACACACTGGTCTTTGAGAGACCTTCAATATCCAAACTATATCTGTCAGGAACATTTCTCCCAGATGACTGCTATTCATACCAACTACTAGTAGGGGAAAGAAGGTCTTAAACTGCGGACTCAAGCTGTAGACATTTGGTAGTTCTTAGTTACGGAGTCACGTGCAGACCTGTGCTACAGGGAAAGGGGAGGGTGTGTTGGGTCTACAGAGTCCACGTGCCACACACAACCATCAACTGTACTCATCCAGCCAGGTCGACACTCCCCAAATACTGCCTCCCACTTCGAGGTTGCTGTCTTGGTCCCATGATTGGGAAAGCTCTTGTCTCCAGCCAGGTGCCAGGGATTGGGGTATCCAAAGTCAGAAAGGGGGCACACTCCCGGGATCCCATGCAAATAACCGAATGAAACAGAACAATTCTCAACCCCTACAAATTCTCCCGTGAGGAGCACTGCCAGAGGAGCTGAGTTCATCCAGTGTGGTCATCTCGGCTGATGGATGGGGAAACTGAAGCCTGCAAAAGGGAAGAGATTTACAAAACGTCCCACAGGAAAATGGGCATGCACACTGTCTAGAACTCGCGGCTTCCAGGTCAGCATTCTTGATTCTATAGCTGAGGGCCGCCCCTCCTCGATATGTCCATCAGGAAATTCCCGACCGCCCGCCACAATTCCTTCCGCGCCAGGAATCCCCTCCGGAGTTTGCGCTCTGTGTGGCAGGTTGAAAACTTCCTCCGCAGCCCTGCGCACACTTCTCAGCACCCTAAGAGAGAGGTGAGAAGGGAGAGAACGTCCAGGACATCATTGCGATAACTTGTCGCTGCGGGGTGGTGGGGTGGCGGCAGCAGGAGAAGGACCCACCGGGAACGCGCTGGCCCTTTAAGGGGGGGACGGAGCGCATGCGCGGCGCGGGCCGGAGTCGAGCCTGGTGGGCGGCGGGAGGCGCAGCCGACCCGGCCGGCGGCAGCGGTGGCTTCTGCTTCGCCGAGCCGGGACGTCGCCATCCGCCGGTGGGCTGCACCTTCCTAGGCTGCTGCTCCCCGGGGATCCGTGTCCCGGCGGCGCCCGCCGGGGCTTTGTCGCTCGCCGCCGCGGGCGGAGCCTACGGACCTGCCCTCGCACCCTGCGCGCCCAGCTCGGCTCAGCCTGGCCGCGGGAGCCCTAGCGCAGCATCCTCCGACCGCTCATGCTGCGGCTGGTGGCTAGCGGCGAGCCTGCCCCTCAGTGACCTCAGCCTGGTCCCCGCGCGTCGCCCGAGGCGCTCCCCCACGATGGCTGAGCCTGGGGCCCCGTGTCCCGCTTTGGCTCGGCTGGGACCGCGCCGCGCCCGGTGCCCCCGGTACCCCCGCTGATCCGCTCCAGGCCGGGGATCGCAGGGCCCAGGAGCCCCCAACTGTCGCCTCCCCGCCGCACCCTTCCCCTCCGCCCTCTCTGCTGCTGTTCCCCGGGGCTAGGGGCTAGGGGACCTAGACAAAGCCCCACTTTGTGCGGGAGGCGGGCGTGGAATGTGCGCGGCGGCGCGCGCCCCCTCCCCACCCCCTCCCCGCCCCGCCAGCTGCAAGTCTTGGCTCCCGGAAGGGTCGCGACGGAGAAGTCGCCCCCGGCGCCGCTCTCTCCCCTCGCATCCCCGGTCCCCGGGGTCCAGACTGGGAGCTCACGCGGGCCCCCTTCGCTCGCGCCAGTGTGAGTGTGCAAGGATTCCGTAGAGGAATTTGTTCTCTCCAAAACTGGGAGTGGGCACCGGTGCCTTGGGCCTCTTTTCCAGTGTTACCCCAGGAACTGTCTGGCCTCAGTCTCCCTACCCCCGGGCCCCTACTTTTCTCCTCTCTGCCATCCTAGATCGCTGCGGGTCATTGTTCTCGCTGCCAAATGGGGGTGCTTTGTACAGGCTGCCAAGTTGGGGTATGTTCTCTTCACCCCGTTTTTCAAACAACACAGGGCTCCTGAGGCGGACCCTGGGCAACCCACCTGGCCATCACTCCAGGTTGATGCGCTGATTCTTTCTTACCAAATAGTATTTTATTGTACAGGAGCCACGCCCTGGTTTCTTAAAGGCGCCCGGCACTGTTTGGCCATGTGTTATCTCTATAGCGGGTGTGTAGGAGGCCTTCTGTAAGGCACTAATTTTTCCCGCCTCCTGATATATCCTCCCACCCCCGTCGAGGATTTAGGGATGCCAGGGGGAAAGAAAGTGGTCCCGAGTGGCAGCAGCGGTGCCTCCCCGAACGCAGCCGCTGCCACCGCTGCTGCTGCCGCCGCCGCCGCCCACTCTGGCATTAAACGTTTGGAGACCAGCGAAGGGGCCTCAGCACAGAGAGATGAGGATCCAGAGGATGAAGGGGAAGAGGACCTACGAGATGGAGGTGTCCCTTTCTACATCAACCGAGGTGGACTGCCAGTGGACGAGGCCACCTGGGAAAGGATGTGGAAGCATGTGGCCAAGATCCACCCGGATGGAGAGAAGGTGGCCCTGCGGATCCGTGGGGCCACGGACCTGCCCAAGGTAAGACCATGGAGGGGGCGGGCACAATGAGGATGGGTTTTATTGACCTTGGAGCTAAGAAAATAACCCACACACATCTTGCTTCTGATGGATGCAGTAGGGGGCCATGGGTAAGGTAAGATTTTTTAAATATAGGTAGGTGGCACCTGTCCAGAACTTTCTTTCCAGTGCTTTTGGAGTCATTTAATGAGGGAGGTTCAGTGCCCTATCTCCAGGAGGCCCTCTCCCATGGCTTTCTGAGTAGGACCACAGATGAACTGGGGAACCGATGTGGCTTGGCATCTTTTTGGCGCAGGACACTTGACAAGCCAGAAAACTGAGAGACTGATGATGAATGACCGGGGAAGTGCAAGACTTTGTATGGTGGGGAAATAGTTTCATATATTACCTACTGAGTTTGACCAGCCACATTCCAAAGGAAGTACAGTTTGGGCTCCCTTTTAAGATGAGAAACTCGAAAGGTACGTGGGATGTGGCAGAGCCGGGATTCAGCACCAGGTCTTGGGGGCTCCAGGGACATTAGCAGTGGGCCTGTGGGGAAGAGAGGAGCTAAGTGTTCTCTTGCATTGACTGGAACTCTTCTGCCACAACAGTGCCTCCATGGTACTGCCGAGGAAGGAGAGGCTCTGTCTCATTCATCTTTGTCTTCCTGAGGTCTCCTGTGTGCCTGGCACAGGGCGGGCACTTATGTGTGTTTGCTAAATGAAAGGACATTTGGGTTGTGCTGTGCAGGGCTATCGTGTGTGTGTGTGTGTGTGTGTGTGTGTGTGTGTGTGTGTGTGTGTGTGTGTGTGCTTAATGTTTATGTTCCGTCTAAGGAAGCACTGCTCCACATCCTGAGGCCATTGATCAGAAGTCAGACCTAAGGCTTAGTCCTTCCAGAAGAGAGGGGAGAATGGAGTTACTGATATGTGGAGACCAGGCCTGTTTTGCTTTTGCTGAGTTATTGCCATAGCCATCAAAAAATAGTTTTTTTTTGTGGGGGGGGGGGATATAATCTGAGGTTGAAAGTTGAGCTGCTACTGCCTAATGTTTCACAATAAGCTAGATTGACTTTGAATAGTGACATCATCGTCCCCTCATGTCTTTAGCTAATCGGAACTGGACACTGTTTCCACTATCTTACCCTTAAAGTGAGCACTGGGCCAGACATTCCAAAACACAAATTTTGGGATCCGGCTTTGATGTTTGACCTTAGGATAAATTCCAAAACAAGAAAGTATGACATCGTGGGATTTAGGTAATGTTTTGGATCACCTGCCTACCCAAGTGAGCTCAAGGCAGTTCCCTCCAGCCTGCTCATGTCACAGTTTTCTTATCTGTAAAATGGGTTGGTGGCCGAGAAGGTGAAATGAGAAGCTGGGACTGTTGTTGAGGAGGGAGACGAGATGCCACCCAGTGTATCTGGCTGATGAGGCCACCATTACACACATGCCCCACAGTATCCGGTCCCTGTGGTTCTGTCTGAATCGGACCATAGGAGAGCGGCAGAAAGGTCACTGCTTTGGAGGATTCAAACCATCAATGTCTTCAATAGCGATTGGTCAGTATGGCCATCTTCAGGCCTCGTGTTCAGGAAGGAAGGACGTGTTTGAAAGGATAGAGCTGTTTGGTAGAGAGGAAAGTATGGAGGCAGGAGCCTAGGAAGATGGAGAGAATGTTGAAGCTTCTCATCTTTAAGGCATTGGGGAAATGTCTCAGATTGAGGAAGTAGGGAAGCCTGAAGTTCAACTGTAAACTTGGCCCAGGGAACCCTTAGGGGTCCAGGGGATGTAGAGAAGCCCTAGAGGCCACGGAGAAAAGCAGCAATATTGGGTGCCATACTGTGAGCTGCAGAAAGGCCTGAGCCTGGCCTGTCCCCTCCCCAGTGGCCGGCTTCAGAGGTCACACTGCCCACGATAGGCCCAGGAACAGTTTCTTAGGATACACAATGTCTTAACGGACCATTTGAGCCAAACACGAGCCTTGGGAGATTTCTCACATAATGATCCGTAACTTTTGGCATCTTTACCGGAAGGGAAGAGATATGGGAACAGCGAGTCTGTGGCAGCCGGCAGGAGGGGCTGGGGTGTGTTTTCTGCTCCCTCATTTGGCTACAGCTCCCCATGCCCCCACCTGCCTTCCCCGAGTTTTACAGGCTAAGCCTCTGCAAGGAACTGGAGCCACAGCAGCAGGGCAGTGTGGTAAAAGGCAGTACTCTGCAGGGGCAGCCACCGTGTTTTCCCGTCCTTGCTGTCTCCTAACTACTTGTGAGAGGAAGGCGTCCAACATCCTTGCCCCTCAGCATCCCCAGCTGTCAGTGGATCCGCGGCAATGCCCACTTCACGGGGATGCTGAGATGAGCTGCTGATGGAAAACGTGTAGCACGTCATTAGGTGAGCATGTGATGATACACAGAGTGGGCATGCAGCAAGCCACAAGCACTTGCAGTCTCTGCAAGAGCGATGCCAAGCATAACAGCTTCTAGAAGGATCCAAAAGCCAGCAGCAGGCTCCGCTCCTTCATGAGAATCTCTCCTGTTTCCAGCTGTCATCCCTTTTGAAAGCCCAGCAACCACTTACCCAAACCCAGCTGAAGACCTAGCTGTGGCTTTGACCGCTAAGCACCTGCAGATGGGAATCCAGATATCTCTAGAGGGCCAGATGGCCCAGGGAAGTGTGTGCTGGACAGTCTTTGGCAGACATTGGTAGCCAGGTGTTGGGCAGTATTCTGAGGTGTCTGCTTGTAACCGCTCAGTGATGTTCCCAGGCAGGTTCTGTTACTGCACTTTCGGGAGTGAGGTGCATTCACCAATGAGGCATTTTGAAGGACTTCTGTCCATCACTAAGTCTTCCTGACTCACCTCTGAGTCCAGCCACAGGCTCTCCGACCTCCCCTAAGCCTCCTCATTGTGCTGGGCTGAGGGACTCTTCCAGTAGAATTGTCCTGGAACCCTGGACTGTCTGGTTCCTTGGTAAGGTGGTCTCTAAGGCCATGCTTAGGATCCTGGGTCATTTTTTTTGGACCCTTCTTGCACAGCAGCCTTCTCGACAGGCCCTTTGTGAGGCAGGTGCCCATGATGTTTTTGTGGGTACCACCTGATCCTGGCTTGAGCCTGTTCTCAAATCTCTCTGCCTGAGCTTTGGCAATTGGTTCTTCTATGGCTCCCTCCCTGTCCAGAGTGGCTCACGGGCAGGTGGGTTCAGTTACACAGCTCCAGTTCTTGGAACCTACCTACCAAGGAGGGGTGATTTTGCTGCACTGAGGTCAGGCGACATGGGTGGATGTGCAGTACTACTTATAGAGGTTTACTAAGCTATTTCTGTCCTACCTCCCCACCCCCATACCCTCGTCCAGGATGGGCAGCCAGCCCGCTGGACAGTTCTAGGGTGCATTTGTGATCAGACAAGGGAAGGCAGGGCCCATCCTGAGCTTGGCTCCTGCAGGAGGCTGAAGGTAATAGTACCAGTTGGAAGATGGAAGTGATGTGAAAGAGGAAGTAACTTCTCCAAGCTGTGGCATCTGCTGCTAGAGACTGCCTAGACAGGAAGCAAAGGACCCCGAGGAGAGAAGAGGGAAGAAAGGCATGCTAGACTGTCTCTGAGCCAGGGCCCTTCCTTCCTGGGGCTCCGCCCTATGGAGCGGGAGCAGTATCTGCTAGAGACACGGTCCTCGTCTCCCACCACCAGAAGCGCCCCAGAGACAAGTGTGTGGTGATAACTAGTGTGTCACTTCCCTTCCTGACAGAGCCCAGACACAGCAACTGTAGTGTTTCCGTGAGCCCAGCCTCTCCATCACTGGACCGCCTACCGAGGATGAGCCTTTCCTCCGCCATACAATCCCACCCTGAGTGTACTTAGGACTCCTGATACTCCTTCCCTTTACTCCCACCCTTACAATTGCAGCAAGGTGGCCATGGGCAAGCTCTGTGCAGCCTTGGAAGGTCCAATGGCAACCTACTGGGAAAAGAGAGGAACATACCACTTAGATGTGGAGTGGGTGGGGAAAGGGTGTTTTGAAGCAAGACCTGCCCCCACACCATGTTCCCCCTCACACTGCCCAACTGCCACACTCCTTGACAGTTCCCGTTGGTGCTTTGGAAGCCCTGGCACACCTGCCCGGCCGTGGAGATGGGTGACAGCCCTTGCTGAGGTTATATCCACCTGTCTAGGATAGGTCCCTTAGCTGAAGGTACCACCTGGTAGAATGGAACACTGAGAAAGCCAGTTTTAATCTGGTGCTTGAGCCAGAGTGTATTAGTCTGGTTTTTTTTTTTTTTTCATTGCTATAATGAAATAGCGGAGACAGGACACTTATGAAGACATGAGGTTTATTTAGCTTGCAGCCTTGGGGACTGGAGGGACCTGGGTTGGTTCAGCCTGTGGTCAGGTCCACTGGCCGTGGATGGCACCATGACAGGAGCATGGGGAGGTCGATCACACTGGAAGGAAGAAGCCACAGGAAGGGGAGCTGGTTTCGCCCTTCGATGACAACCCTGAGAACTGCCTTCTGCCTTTCCAGGGGTGTGCCTCCAGTGCCCTAATACCTTTGTCTAGAACCTACCCAGGGACAAAGGGTCTAACACCTTTGCCACATCCAAGCCACGGAACAGAGTGAACCCCCAAACCTAAACAAATTAACCCCAATATGGACACTCTTGTTAAGCATTAATGAATGCATATTTTAAATGTAATATAGTCTGTGGATCCTCTTGTGTTTTCTAAAATTATTTAACAGCATAAAATTGCAAGGTCAGCGTAAGCGCCATGTTAGAAGTACAGTCAGGTATCGGGGATGGCTGAGCTGGGGGTCTGGGAGGAGGCTTGGGAAAGAAGGGATCCCAGGGAAAGCAGCTCGGAGAAGGAGCCTCTCTCCTGGGTATTGCTCTGGGGGGCGGGGGCGCCTGGAAGCTCCAGGGTATGCTATCCATGTGACAGCTTTTTTCTCCATCTGTCCCTAGATTCCCATACCAAGTGTGCCTACTTTCCAACCGACGACGCCCATCCCTGAGCGCCTGGAAGCCGTGCAGCGCTACATCAGGGAACTGCAGTATCCTCTTGGGTCCAGAGCTGTGGCCACCACTTAGTGACAGCCCCAAAGGCCAAGTGGGGCCTGGAGAGGGATCCGCACAGGGCCAGCTCCCTCCCAGCTCCAGAGCTGCCACGCACTGGCATCTCTGTTCCCTGGAGCTGCCAAGGCTGCGTCTGAGTGCTGGACCCGCTCCAGCTTCTCCAGCACCAGCTTCCCCATGCTGTGTGCGTGCGTGCGTGCGTGCGTGAGTGCGTGTGTGTGCGTGTGCGTGCATGCACATGGACACGTGCACACGTGCTCCTGTAGGGAGAGAAGGGGGCTCCTAAGTACCTTGATGAGAAAAAGGGGTGTCAGCTATCATTCGTCCTGCCCCAGCCAAGGTGATATGGATATAATATCCGTATCTTGAGGTTTTCTCCTAATTGTTGGCATTTTTCTTCCCTGGCAGCAGGCCAGCTGCCTTATGTCTCTGCTCTGGGCCCCTGGACCCAGGACCACCAGCCCAGGGGGTTGCACCACACACAATGGGCTGGGCCCCTCACCCACATCAATCACTAGTTAAGAAACTTCACCACCGGCATATACCCAGAGGCCAGTCTGCTGGGGGCATTTTCTCAGTTGAAGTTCCCCCTTCCTGAATGACTCTAGCTTGTGTGAAGCTCACATAAAACCACCTGGCCCCTCCGGCCTTCCTAGCTATTTGGAAAACCCAGCACTGCTAGGAGCTGTCCCCAGCTAAGGCCTGCTTTCTCAGCCCTGCCTGGGGTGGCTGCCCAATCAGTGTCCTGTCCTGAGACAGGGGGCCAGGAGAGAATGAGGGAGATGGTGGGGAGAGAACCCCCATGCTGCACCCTGTCTCCTCTCCCCCAGAGAACAAGTCCTAAGCATCCCGCATGGTGCTTTTGTGTCAAGGGTCCTTCTGTCGCCATCCTAGGGTCTGGGAGGGCAGCCAAGGGATCGAGACAGCCTTCCAGACCAAGCCAGGAAGCCCTTAACCACTGTCCCCCAGGTACAATCACACAGGGACACAGTTCTTTGAAATTAAGAAGAGCAGACCTCTGACAGGGTAAGTGCCAGGCCTCTGCCCCGGGCTCTCAGGGTGTCCCCACCTTCCACTGGATTCGATCCCACTAGGGAACCTCGGTGCTTTGCCTTAGAGTGACAGCTTAAGAGGTAGGCGGGGACTTTCCTGAGGAAAGCCGGCCAGCCATAGGATGGGGGAAGGGCGCTAGCCTGGAGAAGGAAATTCCAATGAGATAGATAGCCACCCCAAGCTGAAGAAAGGGAAGTTCAACTGAGCTAATAGGGTAACCCTCCTCCACAGCTTGCCTGGTTTCGGGTAGCCAGGTCCTGTTGGGCGGGGAGTGGGGGTGGGGGGAGGGGAGAGCAGGGAAGAGCCTTTTCCCTTCCCTTTCCTTGAAGCATCCCACGCCCTCTGCATCACAGGGTACCTGTATACTTAACCCAGTTTGTCTGGTCATGAAGTAGAAAGTCGGGTGTCTAAGCATCAGATCCCACAAGAAAGAAAACTGCTTCTCCCACTCCCTAGCCCATCATGACTCAGCATGCAGACTCGGACTGAATCTCTGGTCCTAGACAGTTTGAAGTTGCTTATTTACTTAATTGTGTGTGTGTGTGATGGGGGTGGGGGGATGCCCTGAGTTGCTTACTTATTTAACTAACGGCCCCGTCTCGGAAACCCTGGGGTCGAACCCACCTCCTCTGATCCCAGGCTTTGCTCTTGTCCTTTGGTGGCCGCTGTAGCTGTAGGTATCCATCCTCCCGTACGACACAAGAGTCCCAGGCACAGCCAGTGGCCAAGCCGAGTCCCCAGACCTCGAGGATAGACTGTTCGTGAAATGGCCTAATTTTTGCCAGGCCGTGGTGGTGCACGTCTTTAATCCCAGCACTTGGGAGGCAGAGGTGGGAGGCAGAGGCAGGCGGATCTCTGCGTTCGAGGCCTACAGAGTGAGTTTCAGGACAGTCAGGGATACACAGAGAAACCCTGTCTTCAGAAAAAGAAGAAAAAAAAAAGGAAGGAAGGGCCTAAATTCCAAGGTCAGGGGCAGGCAGGGGAGTCGGGACAGCTGTCTTCCTGAGCTCCTGCATCCAGGCTGCAAAGAGTACTTCCCAGCTGTGTGTGGTTCGGTGAGGAGTGTTCGCTGTGCTCAGGAAGGGACACCATCAATGCTAAGCTTCTCCCCTCCCCCAGCCCCACTGCCCCGGAGAAGGCATGGGCGCCTCAGGTCCTGCTCCATTCATGCTCCCCTCCCCCAGAAGTCTTTGAGCAGAGCAGGAGCCAGGCCAGGGAGGAAAAAGTGAATGGAGGGAAGGGCGGAGAGAGTGGGCCTATTTCCTGAGCTCCAGGGCCTGCCTCCTCACCCCCTCAGAGACTCTAGACTTGGGGCGTGGGGGTGGGGTGGGGGGTGGTGGTAGGGAAGGGGCCGGTGAGGAAGCACCAGGCCTGGGAGGACAGCGGCTTGGAGGGAAGTCTCTGCCCAAGTCTCTCTGACTCATCACCAAATAGGGCCTGGGGAGGCTGGAGACAGTCTCCACACAGCTCCGCCTCCCTCTCCCATAGGCTGATGGACCTGGCCAAGGAAATGACCAAAGAGGCTCTGCCAATCAAATGCCTGGAAGCTGTGATCCTGGGGATGTATCCTTTCTTGAACCTGGGGGAGACTGGCTTGTAGTGGCCAGCCCACCCTTGGCTGCCTGCTGTGGAATGGGGGGGGGTCCTAAGGACTTCTGGGGGTCTCTGCTGTGCTAGCATCTCTTGGCACCCAGCGTGGAGCACCTCCCGAGGTGGAGGAGTCTCTGCAGAAGGGAGGGTCCTTGGGGAGGACTTTGTCTCAGTGCCTCTTAGTGCTACCTTGCCTCCTGGCCTCCTGGATAGCTCGTTTTTTTTGAGTCCCCTGGACAAGGTGACTCTGTTTTCGGAACTCCAAATCTGGGTACAGTTGTACCCTGGCTGTCGTGCCATTTCTAAGTCTGGGAGAAGCAGCAGGGAGGCCCAGCGTTGGCACATCCAGATAGTGATGACTTATAGAGAAGACAGATGGGGTCTTGGAAGCAGAGCTGCCTACAAAGACGCGTAGCGTTTCTCAGCCAACCCCCCAAGGGCAGAGGAGCACCTAGGGAGACGGACAGGCCCCCCAGGAGAAGCAGCCCTGTGCAGGGACCCCATTTAGGGCTGCGGAGGGAGACGGGTATTTGTGACCAGTTTGTCGGGCTTCAGAAGATGGCTTTTAGGGGCTCTTTGGCACCCGCCTACCATCCTGACCTGGCCCTCCCCTGGCCCTTTCCTTAACTCATTGATTCACTAGTTACCTCACCAACAGCATGCCCACCCTGGAACGCTTCCCCATCAGCTTCAAGACCTATTTCTCAGGGAACTACTTCCGCCACATTGTGCTGGGGGTGAACTTTGGGGGCCGCTACGGAGCCCTGGGCATGAGCCGGAGGGAGGACCTGATGTATAAACCTCCAGCCTTCCGTACCCTCAGCGAGCTTGTGCTGGACTACGAGGCGGCCTACGGGCGCTGCTGGCACGTGCTGAAGAAGGTGAAGCTGGGCCAGTGTGTGTCCCACGACCCCCACAGTGTGGAGCAGATTGAATGGAAGCACTCAGTGCTGGACGTGGAGAGGCTGGGCCGGGAAGACTTCCGCAAGGAGCTGGAGCGTCATGCCCGAGACATGCGGCTCAAGGTTAGAATCGGCAGTGGTCCCCAGGGCCAATGTCAACTGCTGCTTCCTCAGAGGATCCCCTCCATGCTTTTACCGGCTTGCCCTGTCCAGTAGGGGCCTGAGAATGAAGTATCTACTTGGACTCAGGATCAGGCGTTGCTCAAAAAAGCCCTGTTGTGGGACTCGAACCTTTGGTGGGCAGACCAAGGAACTCTAACTCTAGAAGGAGGAAGGGAGTGAGCTGGGTTTACACAGTCATAGGTCTCAGACATGTGAAGGACAGGGACATGGTACTCCAGGCCTGGGTGCTTTGAATGGAAGAAGCAGACACCTGGTCTATCTGAGAACGTGGCAGGATAGGGTAGTGAAGACCCCCGCCTCCCCGTCCATCCTGACTCCTGAGTCGCTGAGGCCCCAGCCTGCAGTAAAGGACCAGGAGATCAGCAGAGGGGGGGGGGATCTGCCTACAGGGAAGACAGCATGATGGCTCCTCCCGATCTTCCCCACCACTCAGCAGGTGCTGGAGAGTTGGAGGAATCTCTTGGACCAAGAACAGTAAACTAAGATCCTGAGGTGTTGGCTCCCTCCGATAGCCTTCTAGCAGATAAGATTGGGGAGGGCGCCCTCAGTCTCCCTGGACCGGAGGTACCTTTCCTCGGGCCTGCCAGGGCGCTCTCCTCTCTATCACGCATCCCTCCGGCACTGTGACCTGCTCCTCCAGACCCCTGCGGTTAACATTGCCCTCCCCTGAGGTACATGCTGCCATAGTGTGCCAGGGCCACACCTTTTTCCCACCTTGGTGGCCCTACACCCCGGGGTTTAGTGTTTTTAAGCAACAACAAGACGTAGATAGAAATGGAGCCTATAGGTCCCTTCTTGAGCTTTTGATTCTCAGCCTGCTGAGATGCTGATGATTTTTCAGCCCGTGGAAGTGAGGAAACTCAAAGCAGGCTGACCACACTTCATAAAAGATGATTCGGGTTTGGGGGGTTTTGTTTGTTTGTTTTTGTGGATTTGGTTTTTGTTCTTTTCTGAATCAGAGATACAGTTACCAGTCTGACACCTGATTGGCCTGATATAGTTAGTCACTGTCGCTGTGCGGCTGGTAGGACCTGTCCCAGAGCGTTTCCCATATCCCCATCTGGCACACTTGCCTGGCCTGGGTAAAGAGGCCTTTCTTCAAAGGTGTTTTCCAGTCCTTTGAAAACCCAGTGACAGCTCCTGTTCAGAACCCCCAAGGAGCAGACAGCCCTACCAAGGATCTGCTGCCCTGATGGTTTAAGGGCCAGGGGTGACCCGGAGACAAGGCAAAGGCCACCTGAGGCTTGGAGTGCACGGTGCCTAGCTTCCAGGGACTGCGGCTCCTGGCAGAGCGGAGTGGGCCATGGGGCAACCCAGAACATACTCCTGTTTCTTCCTCCCCATCCAGATTGGCAAGGGGACAGGCCCTCCCTCCCCCACCAAGGACCGGAAGAAGGATGTTTCCTCCCCACAGAGGGCCCAGTCCAGCCCCCACCGCAGGAACAGCCGCAGCGAGAGACGGTGAGAAGGGAGCCCCAGCACAAGCCTTTCCTCTCATCTTCCTGGTCCCTCTTCACTCCTCTTTTCTCCTTCCCATCCATTTCTCTTTGAGAAACCGCTTGGGATGATGGGTCCGTGTGTCTGTGTGCAGACATTGCCTACAGCAATGCGGGGCCATTTCCCCCCTCCTCGAAGGAGACACCCCTCGGCTGTCTCTGGTTACCCTGTGCCCAGCCAGAGGTCTGACTGAATTAGGCAGCAGAATGGACTGAGGATCGAGGATGGACCCCATGGGGCTCCCACAAGGCCCTGGGCCCTTCTGCAGTTTGCTGCAGGGACTCTGTCTCTGCCCCAAGGCTGCATGTGCAGCCAGGAGAGAAGGCTTTGAACACAACCTTTGCCCGCTGGGGTCTGGGTTTCTCTCTGTGTCCAAATGGCAAGATTTGCTATTTCAATACCAGGCCCCTCTCCCTGATTCCCTCTCCCACGTGTCATTCCGGCTCTGGCTTTAAGTGTAATTGACCTCCTGGAGCCACCTGTCTGCTGTCACGTGAGTGAGGGGCGCTGAGCAGACCTCCGGCGCTAAAATACCCGTCACCCTGACTTTGATCTAGGTGGCTTTTGTAGGGAACCGATTCTGAGCTGTTACCCAGAAACTGTGTGGGTCTAGTAATGGCCATCAAAGAGGGAGAGGCTGGGTGACAAGGGACCATCTAGGACACCCCAGGCTGGCCGAGTACGGTTCCAGAAGCACTCCCCACCCCCTCTGCTGCTGTCGTAAAGACCCCTTAGAGGAGGGAAGCCAACTGGGCAGCCCTCCCTCCATCCCTCCCTCCCTCCCTCCCTCCCTCCCTCCCTCCCTCCCTCCCTCCCTCCTCCCTTTTTCCATTTCCCTAGTAACCACTCACTCCTCTTCTGCGCGTTCTGTTTTCCCGCAGGCCTTCAGGAGAGAAGAAGCCTGCAGAGCCCAAAGCCATGCCAGACCTCAATGGGTACCAGATCCGGGTGTGAGGCAGATGCCAGCACCCCCAGGCCTCCTCTGCTTCTGGAGGCCCTGACCCACATGAACGAAAGAATCTACTTGGTTCAGGCAGGGGCTGGGGAGTGGGAGGCAGGAAGGATGCCTTGCAGGTCAGCCCCGGTGACTTCCGCTCCCACGGAGCCAAGCCCCTACCTGGGCCAAGAAGCAGTTAGTATTTTATTTGGCGTTTTAGCCCTACAACAGAAGGTGAAGGTATTTGGAGGGAAAGACACATGGATCTGCTGGTAGCTAACAAGGTGTGTTCTCTCTGAGCACTGTGTGGCTTGGGGCGGAGCGGGGGGCGGGCTTGCTGGTTCTGTGGGCTCCTTCTTCCAGCAGTGATCGGGGTTGGTGGGCCTTGCCATCCTGTGGGGTGAGGGTGGGGTGGGGTAGGGACGGAGAATCATGATCCAGGGAAAGGGAACAGGGTAGAGGTCCCGCTGAGAAAGGTCCATTTATTCCTCAAATCAGGAACTTGGCAGAGGCCACATCTGCCTAAGGTGGAAGCCTGTGGCACAGAAGAGCCCTTGGGTCAGTGTGACTTACACAGCACTGTGTTCCCCCCCCCTATACACACACACACATATTGTCACCGTAGCCAGCGTGGGATTAGGCTATAGGCGAACCCGGAGAGGACCGTTGCAGGGAAGAGTTCCTGGCCCCCAACACATCTGCTGGTTCAGTCTAGTCTTGACTACTGCTGCAGCCCAGGGACTCCTTGCAGAAGGGCTGGGCTTTGTAGAAAGTCCAGAATTGCACTGGGGACACCATGACCTTGAGAAGCTGGCTGGGCATGGGGTAGTTGCGTAGGGCCCTCTAGTTGTGTGAGTGGGTTCTTCTCCCCCCTTCTCAGAATCTCAGCCCTTGCTGGGGAAACAAGGCCAGACCACGATGCCTATACTCCAGCCCTGCCTTGCCTGCCTTAGCTGCCCATTTAGGCTTGGGGGGGCGTGGCAGCCAACGATAGCAGTTCCTTGGGGCACTGGCAGGGAAGAGGCCAGGCAGGAGGAGTTGTCCATCTCCCAGCCCTCAGGCAAGAGATCCCTGATCTGGAAGGTGAGGTGTGGAAAGGGGCTGTCAGGGCTGGGGGAGGAGAGACAGTCCTGGAGTTGGGAGTGGAAGTGAGATGTGTGGGAGGCAGTTCAGGATGGGGCTGCGTGGGGGCTGAGTCCCCTGCAGCACAGGCAGTACCGGTCAGGTTGCTGGTGGTTGTAAGTGACGGGATAGCAGGATGAGGTGACCATGAAGGGGCTTTCCTGAGAGGCAGAGGCAGCCCGGGCAGCTGCCATATGTCCGCAGAGGGTTGAGGGCTTGGAAAAGAGCAACGGAACTAGGAACTCAGATGCCTACAGGGCCAACAGATAACGAGGAAGAGTGCTGGGTGGGGACTGTGTCTGGGGAAGAGCATATCCCATTAAAGTGGGCTGCTCCATTCTACTGTTCCCTACAGTGCAGAACCTAAGAGGTAGTTTGGGGGAGGGGGGGGGCTTGTTTTGCTTTTTTTTTTTTTTTAAGGCTAGGACTCTGAATTAGAACATGAATTGTAATTTTTAAAAGTTAACCATCAGTTCGAGAAATTGTCGCTGTAGGTGAGAGAGAGTACCGGCCTGCAGCCTCTAGGGTGGAGAGCTTGGGCCGGTTGTGGGGAGACTCCTGCGGCGCTGCGGGTGGAAATGTGACGGTTTTCAGGTTCCCCGAAGCAGAAAGGGCCCACTTCCTGTGTCATCCCCCTTACCCCGTCCTACAGAGACCATGTGTGTACTTGCTGGTCACCAGAGGGGGTACAGTGGGATAGAATGGAGAAGCTCTTGCTAGCCTGGAAATGGACAGTGGCCAGAAGTAAAGAGGGGGAGAGGGAGGAGGAGGAGGAGCATGTTTCTTCTGGCCACAGGTGTCACATAGAGGCTGGCTGCCCATCACACCAGCAGTTCCTAGGCCCAGAGCCAGGCTCATGGGACCCAGCACAGGCACCATGGGAGGCCAGCTGCTTAGTCCCTTGGTCTTACCTGGTTCCTCCTGGGGTCAGAGGGTCCCTGGGAAGTGCATAGCCTTCCCCTGGGCTATAGCCCTGGCCAGACCCATGGCTGGAGCCCCAAAAAGAGCGTGACACTCTTTGATCCACCTCAGAGTTCAGGGAGTAGGGATAGTGGTCCCCATGTTCCCGTGCCCACCTTGAGAGGTACAGGGCCGAGCAAGATCTTTTCTGGATCTGAATGTGGCTGCTTATCCATAGCCCTCTATGTCTCTGGGAACTTCAAGATGTGACAGAATATGGGAGAAAGGGGTGTGAGGGGAGCTGGAGTCGGGTATGTTTAGAGAACAGCTCCAGGTCCTTGGGACAGTTGCTCTGAGCCCCAGTTCCTTCCTCTGAGGTCCAGGAAAGGAGGAAGCAGGTGGAACATTGATTTGTTCAGGGTGTGGGAGAACAGCTGATGGCCAGCTGTGACCCCCCCCCCCTGCTGTTGACCTCTCCTGAGCTAAGGACTTCCGGCCTGTGGAGCCTGTCATAGGCCACAGTGGTGCTTTTTATTTTTTACTCTTTCTCATATGTAGCAAGCCATCCTCCCCTCTGGGGCCATTTACACAGGCTGTGCTTCCTGGGGATGGCCTGGCTGTATGGTTTCTGGGGAGGCAGAGGCAGGGACTTTGGGGCCTTAGTCACCATCCATGGCATCACTTCATCTCACCTTCCTGTGAGGGACGGGGACCTGGCAGGTGTGACTTCAGACCTCCTGACTCAGGCCTGCCTCTCAGCTTCTCTGGCCCACCCTTGGCTGAGGCAAGGTCAAGGTGAGGTCAGAGGAAGTTCCCCGGTGGAGGTGGCCTAGGGCAGAGGTCCCCTGTGCTGGGTGTTGGGTCAGAACACCGGGAAGCTGGCTTCAGAGAACCTTCCTCTCCACCCAGCAACCTGCCAGTCCTTTCCCTCCATAGCCTCACATTCCCATGCTCCCCTGATCCCTCGTGCCAACCACCCATCCTTGGCGGGCATGGCCCAGTGGGCAGAGCAGCGGCCTCCTGGCCCCAGACTCGATGATGAAGCCGAGAGACCGGGTACTGAGGAGCAGACTCAGAAAACTGACCGTGGCTGATGTCTAGTCCTTTCTGTCTGTCAGGTGATGCCCCAACCCCTTCCAGCTGGGATGACTTCCTGGCTCGGGGGACTAGGTCTAATGATAGCTGTGTAGTGCCCTGAGGTCTGTGTACATAGATAGACACCTGGCTTTCCTGCCTGGGATGAATTCTGGCGTAACACATCCCGGCCCCGCCCTGACATGCTGTCAGTGGTGTTCAGAGTGCAAGGATGTGTGCGTGCGGGTGGGGACCAATAAACTAGAGCTGTTAAAAGGCAAGGATATTCTAGAAGGAGTAGGCGGGAGCTGAGGATTAACCCTGCCAGGCACCACAGCCTCCCGCCAGCATCTCCAGGCAGGTGGGGCTGCCACAGTCCTGTGCTAGGACCCTCTCTCTCACTCCAGCTCGGTGCTTTGAGGTGCCAAGCCTCCTTGTTAAGTCAGGATACGGTCGACCCCTGGGCCAGTGATGATGGACCGTCCCCCCGCCCCCCCCCCCCGCCCCCGTGCTTTGTGCGACTGCTGTGTTGTCGTGGATGTCCTTATCCCTGTCTTCATATCAGTATTAGCCCTGCCTTTCACCGCACACTTTGTCTTATTCTTTTCTCGCTCCCCCCCCCCCCCGCCCCCCCCCCCCCCGAAATGAATAAAGTCTCCCCAGCTCCTGTTGTATGGGCTGGCAGAAACCACACGAAACCTTGTCTGCTTCACTTTGGGAGCTGGAGCCCAGGCCCATTCCCACACTCATCAGCCCCACTGGCTGCAGGAAGAAGCCAAGAGCCTAAGCAGATGGATGGGAGGAGAATTGGAGAGTGGAGAACAGGAAGCCTCCCAGCCCTGGCAAGCCTCGATGGGATTTCGGGATGCTGACTCTCAGCCTGTCAAAGCTATTCAGCTCTTGCTAGCCCTAATCTGGGATCAGGTTTCCCATCCTGCTGGGAGGCGCCTCTTCTTCACACAGCCCCCAGGATATAGTCATGCCCTAGCCGTCCACAGTCAATCAGGATACAGGAGAAAGACAATTCATCTCAGGAAACCACAGCAACAGGGATCTGAAGCTCCTTCTCATCAGCTGCCCATCCACAGCTTTGGGGAAACCTCTGGACCCACCGCTGTCCTCTCCATTGTCCTTTGGCTCTGCACCTCTTACCCACCCACGCTAAGGCAAGAGCAAACACTGAAAACCAAACCAACACACACCAGAATTCTCTCTTAGAGCCCACAGAACTTGTCAGCCAAAATCCTTTCTCATATTTCTCATAAAGCTTTAAGAGTAAAATGCAGACTTGTAGAGAGGAGGTCATGTCACAGGACAGCCAAACCCCACCCTGTCCTAGCAAGGACAGTTTTCACCCAGCAAATCTCTGTCGTTTGCAGTCTGTGATGACCAGGCTTGGGGTCAGCATGGCAGCTGGGGAGGAGAGGCGATCTGCTATTATCGAGGGGTAGCTTGACATATACACTTGAATTGAGGAAGTTTTGTTGCCAGCTAAAATACCCCCCAAAATTTAAAACAAACATTTACATAAAGGTAATTGGAATTTGTGGATATGGTGAATGCATGACATTCCGTGGGGATATGCTGTTTACACATTAAGTCTAGCTCCAATGAAACACGGCAGAGGACGTGGTGAGAGGCCCCAATGGTACAGGCCCACAGTAGGCCTGGATCTGCTCTTGAATTGATGGATAGGAATGGCCTGGGGTGAGCCTAGGTCATCAGTGAACTCATGGCTCGTCATGGTCACTGCTAAGCCACTTTCATAGAATACAGATGTATCACTGCTGACCTCTGGGCTTCTCAGAACCCAGTTTCCTGGGGGAAGCATTTGCCTTATTCTCTGCTGCCCAGGCTCTCCCAGGCACACAGCCCAACCCTACCTACCTCATTTAGGCACATGACTGAATTGACACTTCCCCAAAGCCCTGAAGAGACTGACTTGTCCTCCTCATCTGCCAGGACCTAGCATTTGGACTGCTACTGTGGAGGGGCAGTGGCAATGGGAAGCAATTGTCATACCAAGGACTAAGACTGACCCAGATGTAGGTTGCCTGGCAACAGTCAGTGTTTGCCAAAGGGGTGGAGAACCAGCTGTTGAGGTCCGGCAGGTGGAGGAGACAGACTGGCTAGCTCTTTTGAGACAGCCCACACATGCCAATTCTTTGCAATCCCTAGCCAGAGAGAATTTGCTAGTAAAAAA